TATATATATATATATATATACACCAACATCTTGTCTTCTAATATCTGTTAACAGCCGTAGTGTATTCAGCACGTATGTTAATTCACAAACCGGTCCCACCTCGCTATTATGATTTATTGAACCAACACTACGCTTCCGCATGGCACTTGTCTTTTTCCTCCCGTTGCCTCACCTACAAAAATCTTCTCAGGGAGCGCCTCAGCCCTGGGCCACATAGTCGGTGCAGTGGCGGCGCCGAACTCTTCAAATCGAATATCGAGAGCTTCATCGTCTGTGTTGGACTCCTCTCCTTGATTTGTCTCATCGTCCTTCTGGCCCTCCTCCTCCGATACCTGCAACGTTCCCGCCGGTATCCGTAGCCACTTGTGCTGCAGAGCCCAACGTCGGTCAATCGTGCCCCCAACGAAACGAGTAAAGTTAGTTTCAAACCCCAAGCTCGGCTGCCCTTGCTGCTGCTGCTGCTGCTGCAGCTGCCGCTGCAGCAGCAAGGCCCCGCTGAGGACAGGAGCGCTCCGAGGCTGTTCCCCTACAGCCTCCGCCGGCGGCTCCCCTCGCATGGTGGCGCATGCAGCAGCAGAAGCGGCAGCAGCTGCTGCTGCCGCTCCCGCAGCTGCTGAAGGCGGCTCCTCCTCCGCCTCCGCCCACTCATCTGCCGCCCCTGGGCTGTAGCTGCTACTGTTGCCCGCTGCAGCGGGGGGGTTCGCTGCGGCAGCAGTCCCAGCAACAGCAGTAGGAGGAGCAGGACGCGCTGCGCCGCTGCGGTCTAAGAGGAAGGCGTGGCGGACGGAGCGGCGGCCTTTGGAAGTTGCAACGCTTTCGCGTTGTAGCCGCCTCCTGCGCATGCTGGGGTCTGCTGTTGCTGCAGCTGCCTGCGCGGCTGTAGGCTGCTGCTGCTGGGCGGTGCCCGCGGTCTGACGATCGTGCAGCTCCGCTAAGTAGAGGAGACAGCGCCAGGCAAGCAGTCGCCCCTGGGCCGATAGGAGGCCCATGCGTACATCCCCTTGGAACAAACTGAACAGAAACATAGCGACTCGGCCGAGCGTCATGGGCCCCCTGTGGCAACTGATGGCGTCCGCACTTACGAAAGAGCCTGCAGGCAGCAAAAGCTCGCCGTCCTCCTGCGCCCATGAGTCTAAGTCTTGAGAGGGAGACAAAAACAGAGAAGCGATGTCGAGGGGAGCTGCAGCGGACTGCTGCTCTTTTGCATCTTGCCCATCCCCTCCCTCAGAGGATGAAGACACCAACGCTCCCTCACCACTGATTTCCCGCTTCACTTCACCTGATGCAGCTGCTCCCGTTGCAGATGCAGCTGCACTTGTTGCAGAAGCACCTGCAGAAACTGTTCGTGGAGCCTCATCTGCATGTCCTTTGCTATCCTCTGTCGCAGTCGTCTCCGACACTGCAGCGCCGAGGGCGCCTTCGGAAACGCAGCGCATGCGGGGACCGACGCCGTGGGTTGCATGCGTGGGGGGGGAAGGCGAAGCGGATGAAGAACCGGAAGAAGACTGACAGATCTCCATCTGCGCTTCTGGCCTCTCAAATTCCTCTTGTGGTTGTACCGAGGAACAGTTCGGTTGAACATCAATGCTGCTATTATTGCAGCTGCTGCAGCTACTGCTGCTGCTGTGTTTGCACTCCTTTCCCCCGCTGCTCATCTGCTGCGGCTGACCAGGTGCAGGTGGCCGTGGCAGGAGGCTGGAGGAAAAGCCACCGGAGGGGCTGGTGATAATGGAGGCTTCTTCGGCATCGCCGGCCACGCCGGGTACAGAAGCGGAGAGGTGGGCGTCGCTATGCTGCGCCGCCGCGGCCTCTGTGGGCCCTGAAGAGGCAAGGGAGGCCATCGTGGGGGAGCAGCGGGGCCCGCAGAGTGCCACCCCCGCCTCCTCGCCGGTAGTGCAGCTCTACAGAGGTCTGTGCTCGTCTGTGTGTCGCTAAGTGGTGGTCGGCAGTTGGCGGGGCGTGTACCTACTGCTTCTCTGGCGAGGGAACGAGTAAGCTGGAGCAGGCGCTGCCTTCTGACTGTTGTGCAGGCAGCTGGACCCACTGGGAAGGGAGCAGAGTCGGAGAGAGGGGCGGAGCAGCGCGGAAGTAGCAGCGGGTGTTTTTGGGCTGCGTTTGAACTGAGACGGGAGGAAAGCTGCTTCTTAAGCTGGTGTCAAGGGATCGCAGAAGACAAAAAGACAGCGATATTCTAATGCAGATGTGTTTGATGTAGTTCGAAAGCAGCGCAGGGAACACGCACAACGGCCATGCCCGCAACTGCACGACGGCTGCACACGGAGGGCTGCCTCTGTGGGCGGCTGTAGGGGTGGAGGGTATTCGGTCGGCTTCGGTCTTCTTGAGGCATTCCACTGATGAGAAGAAAACAAGAAAAGGGAGAAAAGAGACTCAAGAAGTCGGCGGGAAGCTGCGGCTGGGTGGGGGTGGGGGCGC